ACACACACACACACACACACACACACACACCATACACACACACATACACACACACACACACACACACAAACCCGCACACACACGCACTTCTGTTGTCCCTGCAGGCTACTGACCGTGTCAGGAACCTCATCAAGGCACTAGAGACCCGGGAACCCCTGAATCCAAGCCTCCACCTCAAGAAGATCATTGTGGTCAGCAGGCTGGTAAGGAGGTGGCCATTTCTGACCTTCTCTCACCCCTTCCCCACCCCTGGGAAGGCCTGGGCCTCCCTTTGTGCTCTGGGCACCCAGCCCCTGCCCCTGTCCTGCCGCTCAAGCCTGGACCTTTGGCTGGGCAGCACGTGCTGCAGCCTTTGCCTCTCTCCAGCTGATCGCAGTGACATGTGGCCACGTGTCCTCCCCCAGGCGCCCCTAGGAGGCGCTACAGTGACCAGGGAGATGGGGTCTGAAGGGCTTTAGAGCTGTGGCCCTACTGGAGGAGAAGGTACCGCTGCATCTGCTAGGCAGAACCGCACCACCCTGACCCAGCACCCATATTCTTCTGGAGGTAGTAACCACAATCCGCATGGGCCTCTGACATCGAAGGGCCAAACAGAGCAAGCAAGGTTGCTTGCCTTCACTCCCAAGCAAGGTTCACAGAAAAAACTAAGGCCACACTGGGCGTCAGGGACCAGAACACAGTTACTAGGTGACATGGGGTCACTGCCCCCTCCATGTGTGTGTCTGAGTTTCTCAGCATTGTCCTCATGTAGCCTGGGACATGGCTCACGGCAGCCACTTCACATTAACAGACTCAAATAGCTTTCCAACAGGCTTTAGCTAAAAGCAAACAAAAGCAAAACACTTCCTGGTAGGAAGCTAAGAGTGGGAATGTGCACTTGTGGTCCCAGCACTTCAGATGCAGAGGTAAGAGGATAGAGAGTTCAAGGCCAGCCTCAGATACATGGCAAGTTCAAGGCCAGCCTGGGCTACAGGAGATTCTGTCACAGAAACAAAACAGCTTGTTGATAACCACTAAAATCAGTTACTGTGGCCCACAGAGGGTGTATCCAGAAGACCCTATGGCTAGAGGCAGGTTCCTGGGGACATGGGTAGCTAGCTGCCCACACCCAGCTTCCTAGAGGTCCCAGGAACCTCCTGGGCTCTGCTGAAGTGCCCCCCATTTCTGACGTGGCTTCACCCCAGCAGGTTGGGCTGACTAGACTGTTTCCCTGTGTCCACTCTTGGCAGTGTGGGAGGCACCAGGCCATCCAGCGCCTTGTGAGCGGCTTCCTGGAGCGCATCTTCATGACCGCACCCGCCTGTGCCCTTGTGGCCACGGAGCTTGGCTACCTCTTCATCCTGCAGCAGCAAGTGAAGGAAGCAAGTCTGTGGTACAGGGAGGCCATGAAGCTGGAGGAGAACAGGCTGTCTGCCTTGGCAGGTCTCCGAAGGCCGGGCAGGGCAGGGTGGCAGCCAGCAGGGTCCCTCCAGAGTGTGTGTGTGAGTTTAGGGGGCGCTGCACACGAGGTCTCCCTGTGAACCTGCCAGTATGACGGAAGGCCCAGGACTAATGGGGACACCATCCAACCCACACTGACCCATGCACCCCCCACATCCTACATCACAGAAAGACTCGTGGTCCGGGGCTCATGCTGGTGGCCCTGCCCCATCTCCACCCCCGCAGGCCAGAAGTGGAGACGTCCTCCTCCACCCCTCACACACACGCAGCCTCTGTGTGCACACCCTCTGCGGGGTTTCCTTCCTGTCTAGCCTGGTAACTTCCTTTGTCCTCTGTGTAAGTGCAAAACACCTTTCCAGAAGCCCTACTTTTTCTTTTAAATTGGCACATATTAACCTTTTCCGAACAGTCTTGCTATGGCCCCTTCACAGTAGAAGCTCCATTTTTCAGTTGATAGGTTTTTTGGTTTTTGCTTTTTCAGACAGGCTTTTACCTGTGTCACCCTTGAACCAGCTGTCTTTCTGCTTCTGCCTTCTAAATGCTGGAATTACCAGCATGTACCAATGCACCCAGGGTTCATGTGTTTGTTTGTTGGTTTTGGAGACCAGGTCTCCTGTATCCCAGGCTTGCCTGGAATTGACTGTGTAGCCAAGGGTAGCACTGAACTTCTGATATCCCTGCCTCTACTGTCAAGTGCTAGAATCCCAGGTGTGTGCCACCTACCCTGTTTACATGGTGCTGGGGTCACAGGTGTGTGCCACCTGCCCTGTTTAGAGGGTTCTAGGATCCCAGGTGTGTGCCACCTGCTCTGTTTACATGGTGCTGGGTGGTTGTTGTGGTTTTTTTGTTTGGTTGGTTTGGTTTGGTTTTTGAGACAGGGTTTCTCTGTATGGCCCTGGCTGTCCTGGAACTCACTCTGTACACCAGGCTGGCCTTGAACTCAGTGGTCTGAAAGGCCTCCACCACCACATCTGGCTGATGCTAGATTTTGAATCCAGGGCTTTGTACATGGTGAACAAGCACTCTACGAATTAATCGACATCACCAGCCCCCTTTTCCTTTTATTCCCAACCAGCATCCTTGCCCTTTTCTATACCTTCTTTAAACAGCCAACTCTAATTTGCATGTGTTCTGAAGATCACTGTCTCCTGGGGCCGAGGAAGCTGAGTGCTGAGGTCCCTTTTCTGAGCTCCGGTCTCTGAGATACAGTGTAGTTGCTAGAGCAGTTAGAGCTTTCTGTTCATGTTAGGCTGGCCTTCCCACCCAGGAAAATCTATTTCTTTATTTTAATAGAGAGAGATCTTCTGTGGCACAGCTGACCTCAATCCTATACACCTGTAAAGGTCTTGACCAGACCCTCTCCTGCCTCTAAATGTTGGCATTATTTGTTAATGTGTGTGTCTGCCCAGGGGCATGTGTGCAAGCCATGGCACACGTATGGAGATCAGAGGGCAGCCTTGATTCTCTTCTTCCCCTTTATGTGGATCCATGGAATCAAACTCAGGTCACCAGGCCTACACGACAAGCTCCTTTACCTGCTGAGTGCTCTTGCCAGCCCTGCAGGCACTCTTAAAAGATGACTCCAGGCTGGATGTGGTGGTGCCCAGCCTTAATCCCAGCCGTCAGGAGGCAGAGGTATGCAGATCTCTGAGAGTTCAAGGCCAGCCTACATAGAGAACTCTAGAACAGCCAGTTCTGTAGCCACTACTACAATAAACAACAAACAAACATAAGAGATGACTCCATTGCAACCATGAGAAAAGAGAAGGGTGCCTTTAGCAAACCAGAAACTACAAGACCCTCAGAGGCAAACAGTATCAACACGTTGAGACTGCAAGTTTGTCTAGAAACCTGTGAGCCAGCATGGCAGCGACGAACCAGCTCAAGCCCAAAGCTGGGTGTGGGCCATGCCTGTCATGGCTGGGTGTGGGCCATGCCCGTCATGGCAGCACTCTGAAGCCTGAGGCAGGGTTCTGAGTTCAGGGTTACCCACCCCACATGGAACCTGTCTCAGAGGACAGCAGAGCCCCAGAGAAGCTAGAAACCCAAGCCCCAGGGCATCCGAGGCTGAGAGTCCACATCCAGGAAGTGGATTGTGAGAACATTCCTGTCAGAAACCAGGACCAAGGCCACCCTTACCGAAAACTGAAGAAAGGAGAGTGTGGCCCCAGAGGACGCCAGCACAACTGTGGCTGTGGAGGACAGAGTCTGGGCACTGCTCACCACACAGGCAAATCCTGTCCGGGCACTGTTCACCACACAGGCACATCCCCTGAGGCACTCACCCTTCCTTTCCAGCTTCCTTACTTCAGGGGGAGCCCCAGCAGGCAGCCAGAGGAAAGCGACCTGGTGGAAAGTCTGCCCATGCAAATCTTAGCAAGGGCAAGCTCAGCCCTTCACTTCCACGCGGGATTCCCAGCTCAGCTGAGCCGGAGGGCAGGTCAGGGGGAGATGCTGGCTTAGCTTCGCTGTGCAGCAACCAGTCTCTGAGCTTCTTGTGCAAGCAGTGTGCAGGGTGGGGTTGTCCAGTGGGTCATGCAAATCAAGGGGCCTTCGGGGAGCAGAGTTAAGCCCCAGAGAGCCTGGGACTTGTCTGTCATTGAAGATTCTATTATGGCCAAGAGTAAAGGGCACAGTCAGCTGGTATGGTGGTGCTTGCCTGTCACCCCAGCGTGTAAGAGTGGAGGCAGGAGGATCATGAGTTCAAGATCATCCCCTGCTACATGGAGGCCAGCCTAGCCTACACGGGACACAGTCTTGAAAATAATAACAATTAAAAACAAGTTAGTTACCCAAGTATACAAAAAGAAACAGGCAGACACAGTTGAGTGTTTTCCTAATCATTCAATCCCGAGGGCCACTACCACCATAAAAGAAAATCACCCCAAAAGAAAAGTGAGGGTGGGGGTGGCTAGAGAGACTCCTCAGAGGTTAAGAGCAGTGGTTGCTCTTCCAGAGGTCCCGAGTTCAATTTTCAGCAACCACATGGTGGCTCACAACCATCTATAGTGAGATCTGGTGCCCTCTTCTGGTGTGCAGGCAGAACACTGTTTACATAATGAATAAATCTTTAAGAAAAGAAAAGTCAGGGGGAGATGGCTACGAATAGGAAATTCACAATCTAATTAAAAAGTCACTAACTTAAAAATATGAAAATATGTTCCTTCCCCTACTAATCAAGAGAGTGTGGTTAGAAGTCATTCTTTCTTTTTTCTTTTGCCATTGTGTGTGTACATTGTGTGATGTGGTGTGGTGTGTGCATGTGTGAGAGAGAGGGAGAGACAGACACACAGAGAGAGACAGAGAAAGAGAGACCGAGAGACAGGCAGACAAACAGACACACACAGAGACAGACAGATACACAGACAGAGAGAGAGCAGATGCCCACAGAGGTCAGCAGAGGGCATCGGATGCCCTGGAGCTGGAGTTGCAGGCGGTTGTAGCCCTCGGTTGCTGTCCCAGCTGAGCCCTCTCCAGCCCCTCCTTTCACATTTTACACTGGTAAAGACTGAGATGTGTCTGAGGCTGTAAGGGAGGATATGCTTAGCTCCTTAGTGGGTCAGCAGGACGGCTGCGTAGGTAAATAGCCTCCAGCCAGCCCGATGGCCCAGTTCTGTCTCCAGTCTCCAGGACCCACCTCAGAGAGAAGCAACTCCTCTTGGTTGCCTAGTGACCTCCACGTGTACAACAGGGCAGACAAGAGAATGTGCAGGCACACATACAATTTTGTCTGTCACCATGCTGGGAGTTGAACCCAGAGCTTCATGCATGCTGTACCCTGAACCCCTAAATGTAGATCTTTGAGTTACATATTGCTGTGTGTGCTTTTGTTTGTTTACTTTTTGAGACACACGGTACCCCGCTAGCTATGTGTGCACTAATTACAAATACGTAGAAAAATGTTTGCAGGGCCGGGTATGGTGGTGCACGCCTGTAATCCCAGCACTTGAGAGGCAGAGGCAGGTGGATCTCTCTGAGTTCGAGGCCAGCTTTACCTACACAGCAAATCTAGGACAGCCAGTAGTACACAGAGAAACCCTGTCTCAAAAAACCCAAATGCATGAATGCATGAATGAATGAATGAATGAATGAATGAATGAATGAATGAATGAAAAATGTTTGAAGGGTTAACCCCCAAGTTGTGAATGGCGGTTATCACTGGAGCCATTGTTAAAGCTGATACATGAAGGAAGGATCATCGTCTCTCTGTTTTAGCTCTCCGCCACGGCCCTTCAGTTTGTGAGGATGTGAGAATGCGGCCTGGGGTCCCTCCCTTCCCTGGCTTTGTCCCGCCCCTGGGCCCCTGGGGCTGCAGGGCTGCTGGCTGGCTGTGCTGCCTGCTGAGCTGTGTTCTCCCCCATCCACAGGGAGCATCTGGTGCCAGATCTCACAGGGCCAGCTGGACGAGGCTGCCCACCAGCTTGAGTTCCTCAAGGAGGTGCAGCAGTCCCTTGGGAAGTCTGAGGTCAGAGCTAATGGGCAAGGATGGCTGTCCTGCAGAGGGCAGCCAGAGTGGCCCACCGTACTTCGAGGGCCAGCCTGGGCTCCCGGACCAGCCTCACCCCGAGCCTCTTGCACAGGTGCTGGTTTTCCTGCAAGCCCTCGTGGCAGCTAAGAAGCAAAAGCTGGAGCAGGAGGCCACCGCGCTCCTGAAGGAGGCCGTGGAGCTGCACTTTTCCGGCATGCAGGGCCTGGCCCTGAGCCCCGAGTACTTCGAAAAGCTGGACCCCCTATTTCTGGTCTGCATTGCCAAAGAGTATCTGAACTTCTGTCCCAAGCAGGTAAGGGGAGCCCATCTTGTTGGCACGGGCCTGAAGTATAGGTGTGGGTAGTGCCCACAAGGACAGAGGCACCAGGGCAGACAGAGCAGTGGGCAAGCAGTCAGGAGCCTGGTGTTCCTCTGGGGCTTGTCCCTTTGTTGTTCTGTTTTTGAGATGGGGTTTCCTGTAGCCCCACTGGCCTCTAACCTGCTACACAGCCAGGAATAGCCTTGAACTCCTGATCCTTCTGCCCTGCAGCCAGCCTACGGGGCGCTGCAGATGAAAGTCAGTGCTTTGGCTAAGCAGGGGCTCTGCCCAGCGAGGGGCAGCCCAACCCCAGGGCTTTCCAAGCTATAGACGCCTCAGAGGCTGTTCTAGCAGAGTTGCCTGTCCCAGGGGAGGCCGAAGCCTGGCTCTCACATGCTCCCAGGCCTTTCTGAAGACATGGCTCAGGGACCATGTGTGGGTTGGGCATCATGCGGGCCACCCACCTGTCTGTGTCCTTACATGAAGGATAGTCCCAGCACTGAGGAGGGAGAGGAAGGAGGAGCAGGCGTTCAAGATGGTCCTTGGCTGCATAGGGAATTCAAGGCCGTCACAGGTGACATGAGACCCTGTCTCAGGGGAGATTTTTTATAATTTATTTAATTTTATTTTATGCACATTAGTGTGATGGTGTCAGATCCCTTTAAATTGGCATTACAGACAGTTGTGAGCTGCCATGTGGGCACTGGGAATGGAACCCAGGTCCGTTGGAAGAGCAGAGAGTGCTCTTAACCACTGAGCCATCTCTCCAGCCCTGGAAATTGTTTTTAGAATGAGGAGGAGGAGGTAGGAGAGAATAAGGCGAACTGCAGATTTATCCCCTGGGCTTCCCACAGCCCCGGTCACCCGGCCAGCTCGTTTCTCCACTCCTTAAACAAGTGGCGATGATCCTGAGCCCTGTGGTGAAGGTGGCCCCTGCCATGACGGACCCGCTGTATGTGATGGCTCAGGTCAAGTTCCTCTCAGGTGAGCCGTGAGTCCTAGCAGTCACCTACGGGACTTCTGCCCTATGGTTCTGTCCAAAGGCTTCTACCGGGATCCTTCTATGCCTGTGTGTGTGGCATACACACACACCTGTGTACACACGTACACGCCATGTACGAACATCACAGGGCACCGCTATGGAGGAAGCCAGGAAGGACACGTGGGATAAGCAGAGCACTTCGGCGAGGCCCTGAGTGGGAGGCCCACAAAGGGTCGCTGAGGCCACAGCCAGGTCTGCCAGCCTTTCCTGTGTCACGGCTCAGGCACCAGAGAGAAGGGAAGACTATTCCACGGGTGCCCATCTGACACACGCCCTCACCTGACGCGTACCCTAACCCATCTCCTTGCCTGCAGCACTGACTATTTTTGAGTCTCCGGTTGGCACAGCCTTGGGTGGTCTCACTCATCTGCGGGCTCCTAAGTCTCCATCCTCAAGGCTCTCTGTGCCAGGCTTACTCATAGCTTTAGGTCTCCTGGGTCCAAGGCCAGGACCCAGAAGGACTGTCCCAGAGGTGCTGGCACAGGTTTGGGACCAAAGCTAGGTCTCCAAATGCTTAGGTTGCCATGGTGACTGCCTCCTATTTCCACAGCACACGAGAAAAGATGAGGGAGTTTGGGACCCAAAAGAGGTGTAGCCTCCAGATGGCACCTCCAGGTGCCAGGCTCCAGGTGGCAGCTGTGGAGAGGCTATAGAGGGAGGAAGGGCCCCTCCTCACCCATGACGCCCTCACTGACACTGCCACTGTCAACCCAGGACCGCCAGCCTGGCTTTACACAGGCCCCCAAGTCTCCCTGTGCCAGGAGTTCAGACCTCCATTGCCCTGGGTTTAAATGAAGACCTTGTCTCACAGCACAAGCAGCATCAAGGCCCAAGCACATACAGTGCCCACTTAGCATGCTTGAGGTCCTGGGTTTGAGTGCCAGCACCACCAAAATAAAGATAAAACACGAGGATCAGAAGACCACCTTACAGGGTCAGGCAGATAGTGAGTCAGGTCAGACTTTGTTGTTGCTGTTTTCTTACTTTGTTTTGTTTTCTGAGACAGGGTTTCTCTGTGTAGCCTTGGCTGTCTGGAATAACTGTGTAGACCAGGCTGGCCTCAAATACACAGAGATTCTGCTGCCTCTGCCTTCCGAGTTCGGAGTGGGGGTTAGGGGAATCAAAGGCATGTGCCACCATGCCCGGCCCAAGTTAGACTTTCTAACTGGCCTTGCAGGGCAGAGAAATTAAAGTGCTTTAATTTAATTAAAGTGCCATCAGTCATTAAAGTGCTTTCCTTTCAAGCACAGGTACCTGAGTTTAATCCCAGGTGTAGTACTAGTGTCAGAGGGGCAGAGATGGGCAGATGGAACCCTGCGGCTTGCTGGCTGGCCAGCCTGGCCTGCTTGGTAAGCTCCCAGTCAGAGAGACCCTGCCTCAGCACAAGGTGAAAAGCTCCTGAGGAATGACTCTGGGTGTTAAGCTCTGGCATGCACTAGCATGCCGGTACACACACCGGCACATGCTGTGAAATCCATTCTCCTCTGCTTCTTGGGTCGGGCTCGGGGGCAGCGTGCTCCTGGAGATGCCTGGATGCAGACGTCGGTTCTGTGTTCCTAGGAGAGCTGGAAAATGCCCAAAGCAGCCTGCAGCGCTGCCTGGAGCTGGACCCCACTTTCGTGGACGCCCACCTCCTCATGTCCCAGATCTATCTGGCCCAGGGAAACTTCGTCATGTGCTCCCATTGCTTAGAGCTGGGTGTCAGCCACAACTTCCAGGTGGGCACTCTTCACACTCCGGGGCCCACCCAGCTCTGTACCCACTTCTGGACCATTGCGGGGACTGGGGAGAGCATCCCCCAGGCCCTCTGCTGAACCACAGGCGGTGCTGGCTCACTGGCTCCCTCTGCTGGAGAAGCCACAGAGGTGAGCTAGACCCTGCTCTGCTCTGCCGCTCCTAGGTCCGAGACCACCCCCTCTACCACTTCATCAAAGCCAGGGCCCTCAACAAGACCGGCAACTACGACGAGGCCATAAAGACCCTGAAAATGATCATGAAGTTGCCCACCTCGAAGATGGAAGAGAGCAGGAAGTGCCGAAGCCCCTCTATTCGGCCCAGCGAGCGGGCGTCCATCCTGCTGGAGCTCGTAGAGGCCCTCCGACTGAACGGGGAACTGGTGAGATACACCGCCGTGCTTGGGGCCAGGGCTCAGTGGATAAAGTGCTTGCTGTGAAGGCCCGAGGACCAGGGTTCAAACAGCCAGGACCTACAGTTCACCTGAGAGTTTTAGGTTCAGTGAGAGACCTACCTCAGTAAATAAAGCGGAGAACAATTAAGGAAGATATTTGAGACCTACCTCTTCCCCCGCATACAAACCAGGCACGAGCACCTGCACACGCATGCCTCCACCCGCCAATGGGAACACGATTGTACACATGCATGCACACCACACAAGAGAGACACAACAGGGAGAGAGGCTTTGCGTCCCTCCCTTGGGCTAGGACATGCTGAAGGCCCCATGAGGTCAGCCTGGGAGCCAAGCTCTGTGCCTGATGTTTACTTGGGCTGTGGTTTGAACCCTTTTGTTTGTTGGTTTGGTTTGGTTTGGTTTGGTTTGGTTTGGTTTGGTTGAGTCAGGGTCTCACTGTGTATGATTGGCTGGCCTGGAACTCACTGTATAGACCAGGCTGGCCTCAAACTCACAGAGATCCTCCTGCCTCTGCAAGAAGCAAGAGGCAAGAGCCAGACTTGGAGGAGCTGGAGTCTGTGTGATGCCCTGGCCTCCCTAGCCTTGCCAACTCACGGAACGGGCTCTGTCTTGGATCATCTCTGTGACCAGGGTCCGTAGCCTCCACCTGTGATGAGCCTGAGGAAGCCAGGACTGAGGAGATGGCTCAGTTGTAAAGTGCCTGCTGTGCAGGTGTGAGGACATAAGTTTGCTCCTTGAGGCAGGGGGGAGGTAGCATGGGGACACACACCTTTCACCCCGTTCTGGAGAGACAGACACAGGGCTCTCCTGGAGTTTCAGGTTAGTGTGGCCTGCAGGCTAGTCAGGACTACGCAGCGAAACACCGTCTTTAAATGCCTATATATGTATATGTATTTATATGCATATATGTGTGTGTGTGTGTGTGTGTGTGTGTGTGTGTGTGTGTGTGTGCTAAAGAGATGACTCAGCGGTTAAGAGCACTGGCTACTCTTGCAGAGGACCTGGTTTCAATTCTCAGCATCATCACTGTAGATGGCAACTATCTGTAACTCCATTTCCAGAGGGTCTAATTCTCTCTTCACGCTGCTGAAGGCATGAGGCATGTACACACACACACACACACACACACACACAGAGAGAGAGAGAGAGAGAGACATACATCATACATGGAATAAAAATAAATATTTCTTTTTTTTTTTTTTTCTCCTTTTTTCCTTGGCTGTTCTGGACTCACTCTGTAGACCAGGCTGGCTTCCAACCCACAGAAATCCACCTGCCTCTGCTTCCCTGAGTGCTGGGATTACAGGTGTCGCCACCATACCTAGGTAATATTTCCTAAAAAAAAAAAAAAAAAAAAAAAAACAAGCCAGACAGTATTTGGTTGTTTGATTTGGTTTTTTGTTTGTTTTCACTTTTAAAATATTAACTTATTTTACATGTATGTGTGTGTGTTCGTTGGTGTACACGTGTCACCCTGTGCACATGTGGAGGTCAGAGGTCAGAGGACATGCATGGAGGTCAGAGAACAGATCACGGCAGCTGGCTCCCTCCTTCCACCATACTGGTCCTGTGGATTGAGTCACGTTGTTGGCCGGCAGCAGCATCCTTGCCTGCTGGACCATCTCCTCAGCCCCCCCAGCTCTCAGATGTTAGGCTTGCACGTGTGCATCGTCACGACTGGCCTCCCAGCCAGGCTCCTGGGGGAGGGGGAGGCTGTTCCTGTTAGAGAAGGCACAATGGCGAGAGCAGTGTCTGTGAGTTCTAAGGACCAGTCCACAGCTGCTCTGCAGGTGGCTGGAAGCCATGTTGGCTCAGGAGCAGCAGGGCCAGCCCCTGGGCTCAACCCATGGGAGGGTAAGGTGGCATAAATATGCTTGGGTCTGTAATAGAGGGCACCAAAGAGAGGGTCTGTTTGGTCCCCTCGTTGTAGCATGAGGCCACCAAGATCATGCAGGATGCCATCAACGAGTTCAGCGGCACGCCGGAAGAGATGCGCATCACGGTCGCCAACGTGGACCTGGCTCTGAGCAAAGGCAACGTGGACCTGGCGCTGAGCATGCTGAGAGGCATCACACCCAAGCAGCCGTGCTACACGGAAGCCAAGGAGAAGATGGCCAGCATCTACCTGCACAGCCGCAAGGACGTACGTCTCTACATCAGCTGCTACATGTAAGCTCTACTGCAGCACCGTTCCCCTGGCTGCCGCGGAGGGCCGCCCCAGGCTGTGTGCCTTCGGCTGGGACTCCAGAGGGCATCCCCAGAGGGCCTTAGACCAAGGCGGGAACACCGAGGTCTCCCTGCGCACGGGTGAGGCTGCCGCCTGCCCTGCGGGGCCTACCTTCTGGTGGGAGGACCTAGGCCTGGATCCCAGCTCTAACATGAGAAGAATGGGGAGCACACAATCCCACTCTGGCCCCTCGCTCTGCCTTTCCTGGAAAGTGCAGGGCCTCAGGAATGAGCAGTGGGGGGTAGGTGAGGAAGAAGAGTGGTGTGGCAGATGGAGGCTCCATCCCTCTGTCCCCTACGGTTTGGTGTTGGGACATCAGTGGCCCTTCCCAGACCCTTTCTCTGGGAAAAACTAGGTAGTTTGGTGGTTGGGGAACTGGGAGTGTACAGACTGATCAACGGGGTAGGGTGTCCAGACTGGACTTCCGGGGGAGCAGCGTGGGGCTGGAGTGGAATGCAGTGGCCACGTGCTTGCAGGTGTGTTCCGGGCTCCACCCTGGCATCTCAGGGGAAGGATAAGCGGCTGGGGATGTAGCCCGGTTATGGAGTACTTGCTCAGCATGCACAAAGCCCTGTGTCCAGCCTTCAGTGTGACCCAAACCTGGCGGGGCAGCCCGAGACTGTAATCCCAGTGCTTGGCCCCTGGGTCAGAAAACAACCAAACCCAAACAAAGAAACACAGAAACAGCGTGACTGCACATGGAGTGGCCCCAGCCATAGCCCGGAGGGCAGGGGAGAGCCTGGCCAAGATGGCTCTCAGTGCTCCCCAGGGTTCCCATGACTCAAGGACGATGACGGATGGACAGGAGCCGGGCCTAGGCCTGAAAGAGGTGGTTGATTTCTCCTGCAGGGAGCTTTGTGAACATCTGCCCGGCCCCCACAGCAGCCTGCTGCTGGGTGACGCTTTCATGAACATTCAGGAGGTGAGTGAGGGAGCCGTCCTGCCTTGCTAGCCGAGATCACGTCTCCAGTGGGCGAGAAGGAAAATCACCCTGCCCATACTCTCCCACTAGCCTGAGAAGGCCCTGGAGGTGTACGACGAGGCCTACCGGAAGAACCCTCACGACGCCTCCTTGGTCAGCAGGATCGGGCAAGCCTACGTGAAGACCCACCAGTACGCAAAGGTGAGGCTGCCCCGAGGGAGGCCAGCCACACAGGAAAGGACCTAGAAAGTCCAGGAGCAGGGGGTCTAGATAGGAAGAGACAGTGTTTTCACACAGCTTCCTGCAGCCCTGCCTGCTCCCGTCCGAGGCCTGAGGCCTGCTGCGGGTGGGCATGGGGCATTCATCTTGGGCATCTGTCTGTGAGCTGAAGGGACATGGCACATTAGCCACCCCTGAGAGCCCGCATTTGCACTAAGGCCATTAATTACTATGAGGCTGCCCAGAAGATCAGTGGGCAGGACTTCCTGTGCTGCGAGCTGGCTGAGCTGCTCCTGAAGCTGAAGAAATACCACAAAGCAGAGAAGGTGCTGAAGCAGGCCTTGGAGCGGGACTCTGGTGAGGTGGCATTTGAACCCACTCCTACCTCTGGCCCCCATGGCCCTCCCACATTTATTGGGGACCTGAACCCAGCCCTCCCTATCAACCCATGGGCCAGACTGCACTGACTGGCATTTCCTTGCAGGGGCCAAGGACATCTCAGCCATGATGAGTGAGGTTAAGTGCTTGCTTTTGCTGGCAAGGGTTTACAAGAGCCATAAGAAAGAAGATGTGATGGAAACGCTGAACCAGGTAATTGACCAAGGCCTTTGTTTCTCCTGATGTCTGCGGAAAGAAAGAAGCTCGGCCCAGGGCCTGCCAGGGCGCAGGTCTTCCTTGAGACGGGCCTCACCGTCCCCAAGTGCTGAGATTCAAAGGGTGAACAGCCATGCCTTAGAGCTAGGCTTTTTTTTTTTCTAAGATTTGTTTATTGTATATGGGCGCTGTGTCTGCATTTTGCATACCAGAAGAGGGCATCATAGCCTGTGATATTGTGAGCTGCCATGTGGCTGCCGGGAATTGAACTCAGCACCCATGGAAGAACAACCATTACTCTTAATCACTGAGCCATTTCTCTCTGGTACCCTCTAGCTGGTTTTTTGAGACAGGGTCTTAGTGTGTTAACCAGGCTGGTTTCAGCTCATCATGTAGCCCAGGCTAGCCTGAAGGTAGTCCTCATATGTACTGAATGGTAGTATTTTAGGTTAGCATTCCTGTGTCTCCCTTCTCTGCTCTCTGACATTGTCACAGCAGTCCTTTGGGCTCACTGTGAAATTCCTATCTAATAGAAAAAGCTCAAAGACAAGAAGACTTAAGCCCAAAGCCAAGCGCAGGCATCCATGACTTAAAGTGGTCTAACCCAGAGTTCTAGAACTTTCAATACTGTGAAAGCAGTGTGCCTCCAGTAGGGACTGCACTTCCAGCTCCGAAAGTTTGCTTTTCCTGGACTGGAGATGTGGGACACTACACTGCCTTAGATGCTAGCAGCAGCGGTGAGCGACAGCTTCCCACTGGCTACTCCCTCTCAGGTCCGCCTGAGACCTACCTGAGGCCCACCTGAGACCCACCTGAGGCCCACCTGAGACCCACCTGAGGCCCACCTGAGGCCCACCTGAGGCCCACCTGAGACCCACCTGAGGCCCACCTGAGGCCCACCTGAGACCCACCTGAGGCCCACCTGAGACCCACCTGAGGCCCACCTGAGGCCCACCTGAGGCCCACCTGAGGTTCACCTGAGGCCCACCTGAGGCCCACCTGAGGCCCACCTGGCTCCATAGTGTGCCTGTTGCTAAGCTATGGTGCTCAGGGTTAGGGACATTCGAAAGGGTTTGTTGGCATTCCACCTGCACATGTGTGTGTGCACTACACGTGGCCTTGCACCTGGGGAGACCAGCACAGGGCATTAGATGTCTTGGCCCTGGTGGTTGTGAGCTGCCTACAGGGGTGCCGGGAGCCAAACTCAGGTCCTCTACAAAAGCAGTGTGTGCACTTACCTGCTCATCCATCTTCAGCCCGAAGTTTGCTTGACTGACTGATTTATGTTTGAGAGCTCACTGTGTAGTTCTGGCTGGCCTCGAACTTACTACATAGACCAGCGGTTCCCAACCTTTGGGTCACGACCCCTTTGAGAGTTAAATGACCCTTTCACGGGGTCACCTAAGACCATCAGAAAACAGATATATTTATATGATGATTCATAACAGTAGCAAAATTACAGTTATGAAGCAGCAGCAAAAACAATTTTATAGTTGGGGGTCGCCACAACATGAGGAACTGTATTAGAGGGTCAGCGTTAGAAAGGTTGAGAACCACTGAAATAGACTAAGCTGGCCTTGAACTCAGAGATAGATCTTCCTGTCTCTGCCTCCCAAGTTAAAGGAGTGGGCCAGCAGGCTTGGACCAATGCACCTTTTACTTGTATTCACCTTATTAAGGGTTTATCATAAGTCAGGGGATGAAACCAAGACCTGAAGTTGGCTGTGCCAACCGTCTCCTCTCCGTGCTGGGCCGCCCCTGATCCAAGAGCCCTTGGCCATTGCTGTCATGCTTTCCCCACTTTCCACCCACAAGTACAGGCTCCCACTTGTTCCCAGAATGCATTGTGTGGTTCTAGAGAGGGCCCCGTCCCCACTGACCACTTGAGGTGACTTCTCTTATTTACCATCCAATCCCTGCTCATCTCTTTGTCCTTGAGGAGCCCAGTGCTAGTTTGTACCCACTTTCTGCAACTTGGCTGTCTTCCCTGTTCCACACCGCATGCATTCATATGTGTGGATGTGTGAGGACCGTCTCAGGTTCTAGAGGGAGATAGATGCCGAGCAAACACGCCCATCCGCCCAGGGACAGAGTTTCACCGCTAGCATGCACACAGCACTCGGCTCTGTCCTCAGCACTACATAAACCAGGCCTGGTGGTGCAGGGTCAGAGGTTCAGCGTGCTTGATTATACAATGAGCTCCAGGCCAGCCTGTCTCAGACAGCAACAAATAGCCTACCCTCGCTGGGTATGGTGGTGCATGCCTTTCATCCCAGCTCTGGAGCCAGAGCAGGCAGATCTCCCTGAGTTTGAGGTCCACCTTGTCTATGTAACAAGTTCCATAGCAGCCAGAGCTACATAGTGAGACCTTGTCTCAAAAATAAAACACCACCAGTAACAAAAGCCCCAGCCTGCTTTGTGTACCTGTTGGGTGTTGCTCTAGACAGCCAAAGCAAATGAGACACAGAACCTCAGTGTGATGGAGAGTACAATGGTTGCTCCTCCCACAGGGCCAGGGCCAGCCTCCCCGCTGTGTGCTGAGGGAGTGGCCCAGATTTCCTCAAGGGACCTGTTCTGACAGAGCCAGCCTTGGAACAGGAGGCATTCCTGTGGCGTGACACAGGGGCTCGGGGTTTCTGACTCTAGCCTCATTGGTCCCTCCAAGGCCTTGGACCTCCAGTCCCGGATACTGAAGCGGGTTCCTCTGGAGCAACCCGAAATGATCCCCTTCCAGAAGCAGCTGGCAACCTCCATCTGCGTCCAGATTGGGGAGCACTATCTAACAGAGAAAGATTACAACAGCGCTGTGAAATCCTTTAAGGATGCCCTCTCCTACTCGCCTACAGACAACAAGGTGGGTGACCCTCGAAGTGACGGCTTGGGGGCTAGGAGGCAGCTCAGGTGACCAAGTATTTGCCTAGCATGCACAGAGCCCTGGGTTGAGTCCCCAGCACCACATACAACCTCTCATCTCAGCACTTGGGGGGTGGAGGTAGGTCATACTTGACTACGTAATGAGTTGGACGCCAGCCTGGGATACAGGGAACCCTGTCTCAAAGAGAGACCTAGGTATACTGTGTGAAAAAAAATAGCAAGGTAACTGCTCGCCCTTTGACAAATTCCTCAGTACCAGGTACTGCCTTGGAGACAGTGGGAGGGGCAAGAGTTTTGCCTACAGATTGCCTCAGGCAGGAAGGAAGTGAGAAGCGTGTAGGAGAGTCCGGGGCACAGAGGAGTTCTCCAGAGGAAGGAGCAGAGGCCAAAGATTGAGATTAGAGCGTTAGCAGGCCCTGAGCCAATCCGTCCCATTTGTAAAACCAACAGAATGGCAGGGAAACTGGGTGGGTGTGGAGGGCAGGAGTTATTCTCTGCCCTGGGCTCAGAGGCCTGAATAAGTGCAGGCTGATAGACCAGGCAGGGAGGGAAGTTGGAGTCAAAGGTGATTGACTGCAGAGCTTTTAGCTGGTTTGCTGTGTCTGGTCTGGTCTTGTCGTAGGTGGCGCTGGAGCTGGCTCATCTCTACTTGCTTCAGGGGCAGCTGGATTTGTGTGAACAGCACTGTAGCCCCCTCTTACAGACGGAGCAGACGCAGGAGCGAGCGGCCGTGGTAGGAGATGCCGTGCTGCGCACCTCCCCAGCAGCCCGACCCGATTTGGGCTGCTTCGTAATCGCTTACCCTCAGATGTCTCGCTAGCCCACCCTAAGGGGCTTAAGAGGCTTTCTGGCCCCGGCCTTCATGGGCAGGGATGGGCAGGCCAGCAGGGGGCAGGAGCAACCTCTGGGCCAAGCTGGGGGCGGGGCGTGGTTGAACCAACTTCAGGGGAAACCACACCCATGGTTAGGTGAAGGTCCGGTGCCTGGAAGCCTGTGAAATACCCTTCCCTGGTCAGGCTTTCTAGCTTGTCCAGTACCCACACCTTCTCTAGGGCCACCCCAGGCCCTCACTTCGCAGAGTCAGAAAGTAATGTGGCCACAGACTCTCTGAACTAGGGAGGCCACTGGGGAGTCTTTCTGCCATTGTTCTCTGACAGCAATGTTCGCCGCTGTCAGGAACACATAGCTCCAGCGTCTTCTGTTAGGTGCTGGCTGACCTGATGTTTAGAAAACAAAACTATGAAACGGCCATCAATCTCTACCGCCAAGTGTTGGAGAAAGCTCCAGGTAACTGGGACCAGCACAGTGCTTCCTGCTGGCCAGCTCGGCCAGGAGAAGGGCGGGCCTTCTCCCTCCTTCCTGGCTGGAAAGAGGAAGCCCCTTTCTTCCCAACTGTTCCCAGAGAGGCAGGAAACTGATAAAGACCCAGAACGTGGCAGCCCTTCCTGAGTCCAAGGGACCAGTTCCTGAACCCAGGCACTTGGCGCTGGAGCCAGGACAGCCTGTCTGTCCCCATATCACAGCCACTAGGACTCAGTCTCCTCTGTGGTCACGCCCACTCGAAAGACACAACATGTTCTCTCATGATTTGTAGCTGCACCCCTACTTGCTATTGAATGAAACAGCCACTTCAAGGGTCAAACCTAAAGCCTGAGGCAGAGGCCCAGCACAGCCACAGTGGGTCACGGCAGGGCCCGGCACAGCCACAGTGGGTCACAGCAGGGCCCAGCACTCACAGTTAGGAGCATAGTCTTAGAGCCAGGCTGCCTGGGTCTGAATCCCAGTATCACTTAGTTGTGTAATCTTTGAAAACCCACTCTCCTCCTTTATTCTCACTGTCAAATGATGACAGAGAGTATTCACCTATAGCTAAATCACAGGTAGAACACACAGCCAGGGACAGTTAACCACTGCTGTCACACTGTGTGTGTGAGAGAGAGAGACAGAGATACACACAGATCGAGACACAGAGAGACAGAGTGTGCCTAGAGATCAGGGAACGACACTGGGTATCCTCCTCTATCATCTTCATCCTTGTTCCCTTGAGACAAGATCTTTCTCTGAACTTGAACTTGGCAGACAGCCAGCTAGCCTCAGAAATCCTCTTATCTGTCCCCTCCAAAGTCTGTGGTTCAGAGACTCATGGCCATGCTCAAGGCCACGCCTTGCTTTTTAGCTGGGCCGTGGGGATTTGAACTCCTGTTTGTACAGCAAGTGCTTTACTGACCAAAGCATGTCCCCAGCCCTTGCTGTTGCTATTTTAAGCACCATATAATTTACTCTCGATTGCATATAGAATGTCACTGCTCAGCCTAAACAAATAGTGTCTTTTGGGGCCTGCTTAAGGTCCAGCGTTCCCTCCTTCCCCATCAGACTCGATCATACCAGCCTGACGGAGTTATTGGCCACTGCATGCTGGAGATTTTGGCTCTCTTATTTTAGACAATTTTTTGGTATTGAATAAGTTGATCGATCTGCTCCGACGGAGTGGCAAGCTTGAAGAGGCTCCTGCTTTCTTTGAACTGGCCAAGAAGGTGTCTAGTCGGGTGCCTTTGGAGCCAGGGTTTAACTACTGCCAAGGCATTTACAGCTGGTGAGTTAGGCTCCAGTAGATGGGGGTGGGGCAGAGGTGGAGTGGGAGGCTTCCCTGGGAGCTGCTCAGGAGAGAGGAGACAGAGAACAGCCTCCAGGACCAGGAGCCCTCAAAGCAGAAATCCAGCAGGGCAGCTTTGAGCCATGTTCCCTGAGTGCCCTGGCCTCACGAGGCCCCCTCACCGGCTCCTGGCATTCCTTTCACTCACGGCAGGCACATTGGACAGCCCAATGAGGCCTTGAAGTTTCTCAACAAAGCCCGGAAGGACAGCACTTGGGGCCAGACCGCCACCTTCCACATGGTCCAGATCTGTCTGAACCCCGACAATGAGATTGTGGGTGGCGAAGCCTTTGAGAGCCTGGTGGCCGATGGCAAGTAAGAGGGCTGGGGGCAGGGAGAGGCTTCGGCTGCCCGGGGGAGGCCAGGTGAGTGCCATGTAGCGGGCTGTCAGCACCGGCCCTGTGCTCACAGCTCGGCCAGCCGGAAGGAGTCCCAGCAGCACGGCGTGCGCACCGCGGAGAAGCTGCTTCGGGAGTTCTACCCGCACTCGGAATCTGGGCAGGCCCAGCTGCGGCTGCTGCAGAGCCTCTGCCTGCTGGCCACCAGGGAGAAGGCGAACGTGGAGGTGGCTCTGGGCGCCTTTATTGAGATGGCCCAGGATGAGGTACAAGGGCCTGGGGACACCTTCTGGTGGGCAGGGGTCAAGGTGGGGTGGCCACCAGAGTGCCCCAATGTCAGCCTCCCATGTGCAGAAGGACAGTGTCCCTGCCCTGCTGGCCATGGCGCAGGCCTACATGCTGCTGAAACAGGTCCCCAAGGCCCGCACGCAGTTGAAGCGTCTGGCCAAAGTCCCATGGGTGCTGGATGAGGCCGAAGACCTGGAAAAGAGTTGGCTTCTTCTGGCAGACATCTACTGCCAAAGCGGCAAATTTGACCTGGCCTCAGAGCTGCTGCACCGCTGCCTGCAGTACAACAAGGCAAGACCGCTGGCCTGAGGAGAGTCAGGGAAGCTGCGCAGGGAGACACAGCTGGGCTGGAACCCGAAGCCACAGGCCGAGGAGAAGCCAAGCCTGTGGGGGCCAGGCATAGCCAGCAGGAGAAGGGAACTGAATGCCTGAGAGAAGAGAGGTCGGTGGGCTTGAGGGACGGACGTGCAAGGATTAGCACCTGGCAGTCGGTAGAGGGGCATTATATGAAGGGGTTACGCCAGCTTCTGAGGAAAGGGTGGGTACACAGTTAACCTCCAAGAGGTTGAGGGTGCTCTTGGGGGTCCCTGTGTGCTTGGGGTCGATGCTGCTCACCGCCATCCTGTGCCCCTCCTGGTGCCACCCTGAAGGCCGTGGCAGCTGATGGCCAGGCAGAGGCACTCACTGGCTTTCCTGCAGTCTTGCTGCAGGGCCTATGAGTACATGGGCTTCATCATGGAGAAAGAGCAGTCCTACAAGGACGCGGCGACCAACTATGAGCTGGCCTGGAAGTACAGCCATCAGGCCAACCCTGCCATTGGTAAGGCCACAGGCCAAGGTCCACGGCGTAGGGGGCCTGTGCCCTGACCCTAGGACCCAAGTCCTGCTTCTTGGCAGTTGAGGGAGTCGGAGGGCTCCCTGGTCACCAGAGTGTGCTCCCTACCCCTGGACAGGTTTCAAACTGGCTTTCAACTACCTGAAAGACAAGAAATTTGTAGCTGCCATCGAAGTCTGTCACAGTGTAAGTCACGAACATGGGTGGGAGGTGCAGTGGATGGGCCCCCTGACTGAGTTCACACATCTGATCTATCTCTACACCAGGTCCTGAAGGAGCACCCCAACTACCCCAAGATCAGAGAGGAGATTTTGGAGAAAGCCCAAGGGTCCTTGAGGCCCTAGCTGAGGCTGGAGGGGCCTTGGACCAGTAGAAGCCATCAATCTATAAACATTTCATGGGGAGAGTAGGAAGCAGATCCGTAGAGAAAGAATTGGGAAAATGATGTATTCTCCCCATTTCCATATTGTCTGTGGTTTATTTGGATTCTTGCCTCATCTGGCCCTAGGGTGTCTGGAAGCTTTATGTTCTTAAGGCCTGAGTGGTAGTTTTGCCTGGGGAAGGAAGACAGCTGGCCAGCTGGCATAGCTGGGGCTTCCTGGGCCCTTCTCCTGGACACCACATTTGTTATGGCTCTTGACGAAACAGAGCAGAGAGATCTCCCTGGGAAGTAATGGACAGGAAAGCCCCCTATAGTCATTTCAACTGCCCCAAACTTGTCCCCAGCATCCCCAAACTAATAAAGCGACTGCTCATTCCTGCCACAATGCCCACTGTTCTGCCCCGAGCTCAGACAGGAGACCCAGCTGCAGAAGGGCTCCTGAGCTAAGGCGCTGTGCGAGGGGCAGCGGACTTTCAAGACCCACTGTCCTCTGTCCACATGGTCTGTCCCTACCCACCTCCCCCAAGCTGGACCTCACCCGTTTGGGACAAGCCGATTACCACTGAGCCCCATGCTGCCCTCCGGGTACCACCACACTTTAGGCCAACCAGCTCACCTCCCAGGACCCCATTTAATGCCAGAGGGGGCAGTCACCTAGTCAGGTGGTCCCTATTCAGGAGGCTAATGGTCATTTTAACTGGTAAGAGAGCTCACCTTTGCTGGGTTCCCAGTATGTTTCCTGTTCCTCGGGGTGGAATTAAGGGTCAGTCCAGCCTCAGGGGAAGGACCTCTGAACCAGGGGTCTGGAGGCCTGAGTTCTCACCATGTGCCTTCCCAAGCGCTTGTCCTTTCTGAGTTTCAGTGTCCCACTCTTGAGCAAGAAATTAGACTAGACCTGGGCAGAGCATGTTGAGGCAGCTGGTGGCCCACCTGCCTGCCTCCCATGCGCGAAGCCCTGGCTCTGCCGCCCAGCTCCACGAAAACCAGCTTTGTGGTGCACACCCGGAGTCCCAGCGCTTTGCACCAGGCCTAGGTCATGTTTTCTTATTGTCTGAGGTTACCTTGGGCTACATGAGACCATGTCTCAAAAAGAAAAAGACTCAGCTTCCCAAATCATGCCATGCTTTGCTGGTACTATCTGGAAAACACTTTCCTTATGGTACTGGGGTTGAAATGAGTGGCGCACGCTGCACCCCGACTACACTGTTCACCTTTGCCCTGTTTATAAATAGCACAACACATTTAGGCATTCGTAGGCGCTGCAGACAGGCGTGATATAACCCTACACACAGTCCCGGAGCTTGGGAAGCCCAGGGAGGGCGGCTGCAAGCCCGAAGCCAGCCTGGTTTGCACAGTGAGTTCCAGGCCAGCCAGCACTACAAAGCCAGATGTGGTCTCAAAAGGAAAGACTGGGTGGGGCTGGTGCGATGGCTCAGCAGGTGAAGGTTCCTGACCCAACTCTTGACCTGAGTTTACTCCCCGGGACCCACATGGTGGAAGAAGACAATCAGCTCCCACAAGCTGCCCTCTGAGCCCCACACATGAATTGTGTAAACTAGCGTGCATACACAAAATAAAAATGAAGAAAGAAAGCAGTCTCCAGGAGCGACCCAGCGTGGCAGAATGTAGATGGAGTTTTCAGGAAGCCACCGTGGGGGCAATTGCTTACTGTGCCTTGGGAAGTGGAGGCAGGAGGATCGACAGCGTTAGTCCACCCTGCACAGCAAAGCAAGTCCAGTGTGGGCTGGGCGAGACAGACTGTCTCAGAAAGGTGTGCGTGTGCGTGTGCGTATAATCCCATAATCCCAACACTCGGAAGGTAGAGGATTGGGAGTTCAAGGTCACCCTCAGCTACCCATCAAGAGAGTTATAGAAAGAACCTGGGTTGCCCGGATGGCTGAAAAGTCCTGTTTTTCCATTTTTCTCCCAGGGCCAGGGCTAGAACCAGGGCCTCTTGGCTGCCTGGCAGGTACTCCACTGTGGAGCTCCAGCCCTGGCCAGTCCCATCACACACACACACACACACACACACACACACACACACACACACACAC